CCAGGCCCTCTCGCAATAAGACAGGTTACTTCTTTGAGACCAGTGGGATCATGTCCCACTTGTGCTCGAGTTTCTGACTTGAGGCATGGCCCAGGCCTTGTTAACAGTTTGCCCAATTAGGTTAGGCCTACCTAGGATAACATTTCTTTTCATTAACTCAAAGTCAATTGGTTTGGAATGCAATTACATTTGCAAAATCCCATAACTTAATCACAGGTGTAAAATTCATTATACTCTTATTTCCCCCATACTCAAGAGGAAAAGATTATACTGGGCAAGTAAACCAGGGGTAGGAAACATGAGGCCCTCTTAGAATTCTGCCTACCACAATACTAAATGATTCAATTTTTATAAAGTCAAAAATCTACAAGAATAATCTAAGATGATAAAAGTCAGGTAGTGCTTTTCGTTTGGTGGCACATGTATTTGGGAAGAAGCATGAAGGAGTCTTCTGAGTGCTGGCAATGTTCTGTATCTTGATCTCAGAGGTGATTACGCATATGTGCACTTTGTAAAAATTCATCATTTGTGTAATTAATATTTGTGTACTTTATTGTATATTATACTGCAATAAAAACTTTATGTAAAAATAAAAAAGAGAGGTTCTCAGGGTGCCTTCTTTAATTATATGCAAGAATAATAATTAGCATTAAAACAATGTGTATAAAATAGACACTGGTAAGTACCTGAAATCAGTTCATATCCCTAAGTAATTTAAACACTGAGAAGTTTATGTATACTATTAATTTACCTAGAAAATTGTAAAAATTAGAAAAATTAAATTTCAGCTGGCCTTTATGCAAGTGATCATAAATTCAAGATATTTCGATTTGAATGACTTTTGAAAGTTTCTCACTTTCAATTTGAATAATGTTTACTCTCTCCATTGCATGGAAGTATACACCGATAATTTAAGTGTGGAGAGAGCTGTGTCTATGTGTTTGGTGGTTTGAGCAGGGAAATAAAAGGAAACTAATGAGTCTAATCTGATAGGGTAGATAAATCTTAACTTTCTTATGATATTGAGTTAAAAACATCTGAGAGAAACAAAAACTTTTCTATGACATGGGCCTAGGCACTATTTTCAGAGCTAGTCGACCATAAACTAATTCCATTCTCTACATTCCCATTCTGTTCCGAGCCAAGGAAGTCATACTATTTCCCAATGAATATAAATGAATGCAGCTGTCCATGATAACTAAATAAGGTAAACGCATTTACCCCAACTTATTGTAATCAGCACATACAGAAATCAAATAAACATAAAATAAATGAACTAAAAGTCAATCTCACCTATGAATTTGATGCAAAAATCTTAAATAAAATATTAAGTAAATGGAACAAAAAAGTATTTCAAAATAAGAAAACATTATGACCAAATGGTATTTATTTCAGCAATGCAAGGATGGTTCAATATTAGTAAATCTATCAGATAATTCATATTAATCAAACTAAGGAGAAAAATATCACATGATCATCTTAAAAGGTGCCAAAATGATATTTGATAAAATTCAACATCAATTTGTGATTAAAAATGTAGTTGACCCTGTTTATAGGTTAGGAGTATCTACCACCCATGCATTAGAAAATTGGCATATTAACTTAAGTCAGCCCTCAACATATTTGGATTCCCAATTGCCAGTTGACCCTTGAACAACATGAAAACAAATCTGCATATACAGTTGAACCTGCTCAGAAAAACAAATCTGCATATACAGTTGAACCTGCTCAGTTCAATCATGCATTCCTCAAGGGTCAACTGTATTTTTAATAAAATAGGACTAGATGGCTATTTCCTTAAAATAATTAAACATATCTGGGTAAGCCCAGAAGCTAGCCTCATGTTTAAGTGAGAAAACTTATTCTCACTAACAAGACACATTCTCATTAAGGTAAGGAATGTAACAAGGAAATCATTGTCATTACTTTTACTTAATAGTATTCTGAAGGTTCTGGAAACCAAAGAAATTCAATAAACAAAATAAATCAGATATGTACAACTTTAAAACAAGAGATAATATTATCATTATTTGCACATGTTATGATTGTATACTTAGAGAGGACACAGGAGAAGTCACTAAAAAATTTTTACGAGCAAAGTGGATTCAGTAAAATAAATGAGTACAAAATCACTACACAGAAATCCATAACTTACATATATACAACCAAGAGTAACAAGATAAAATGGAAATATTTATAATAGAAAAAAAACCCTAAACATATCTAGCAATAAATATGCAAGATCTATATGATATAAAGTTTAGAATATTCCTGAGGGTCATGAATAAAGATATGAACAAATGGAAAGTCAATTCATATCATAAGATTGTAAATTCTTGCCAAGTTGTTTGTAAACAACTTAATCTCATAAAAGTACTCACAGGTTTTTTTGGTGGGGGGATACAAAGACAGGCTGATACTAAGTTCATATAGAATATTGGACAGGAAGAGCCAGGAAATTTTTGAAAGATCAATGATAGAATACTCTATCTGATAATGTAGTACATAGATTTAAAATATGTATAAATATATAAACTAATTAAAACAGGTGCTACTGATACATAACAGACAATTCAATAGAACATAAAAGACGGTGTAGAAATCAGTCCGTATACAAGAATCTGATATATAATCAAGATGTCACCTCATATAAGAGAGGAAAAAGATGGATTATTCACTAAATTATTTTAGAATAACCAAAAGACATCTAAAAAAAAAAGGTTGGATCCATATCTCACATTTCATAGTAGGATTTCTTGATGTAACTATTTAAAAGCAAAAAAATTAAAAACAAAAGACTAAAAAGCACTGTATAAAAAGCACTTGATGTAACTATTTAAAAGCAAAAAAATTAAAAACAAAAGACTAAAAAGCACTGTAAACTTGGATGAAGCTCTCTCTGAACTATTATATAAAGCCCAGAAGCTATAAAATGAGAAATTGCTTACAACTACTATGTAAAAGTAAAAAATATATATGACAAAAAACACCATAAACAAAATTAAACACAAACAAGAAACTCAGAAAAGTATTTGTAATTTATATCACAAAATAAGGCTAAATTTCTCTTTTAATAGAGTTCCTACATATCATTAAGAAAAATACCAGCAACCCAACAGAAAACTAGATAAAGAACAGAAATAATAATTCACAGAAAAAAAATACAAATGACTCTTTCATATATAAAAAGATGTTCAATCGCCTATCAGATTGATAAAGATTAAAAAAAAAAGTTAGGTAACACAATGGTTAGTGCAGGCATAGAAACAGCATTCTGATACTTGGCTGCTGGGAGTGTAAACTGGCACCTCTTCAATGGAGGACAATCTGGCAATATCTATCAAAATTCTCAATTCACACGTCCTTTATTCTAGCATCTATTTTTAGGAATTTATTCTACAGATAAATTTTCACATATGCCAAATGGCCTAAGTTCTTAATTATGGTACACTTTGCAATAGCAAAAGATTTGAAATGACTTAAACTTTCCATCAGAGAGGCCTGGCTACATAAATTATGGCACATGTACATAATGGAATACCATGCAGCTATAAAACAAAAGAGAAAGCTCTTTATGAACTAACATGGAATGATCTCCAAAATAAAAGTACAAAAAAGTGTGTACAATATGCTAGCATGCTGCTATTTGTGAAAAAGAACGTGATATGTAAATTTGCTTATATATTCATAAATTCTGTCTGGAAGAAAGCCTAAGAACATGATAATAATATCTATCATCGGGGATAGGACCTCAATGGCTCAGGGACAAGGAAGGGAGATAGGATATTCTGGATATTCTGTGCCTTTTGTACCCTTTTATTTTGAACCATGTCAATGTACTATCTATCAAAAAACGCACAACACATTAAAGTGTATGATGTGATCTAAAGAACATAGTTTTTCAGTCTGTCCATGCTTATCCTAACTTGGCTGAAAATAAAGTCTCTTGTTAATCTGTATAGCTTTTTGATGAAGGCACCAAAGGAGAGACATAATTTTTTGCTTGAAAACTAAAGTTCCAAAATAAAAGTTAAGAAAATCAAACATTAGAAAAACAAAGTTGCTCAACCATAGGGATAGTTAAATCACAATTTGTTTAAAATAAACAAACAAATACCAACAACAGAAAGGAATCATGTGTGTTTAAACTTTGGCAAGGAGGAGAGGGGGTGAGAGAATACACGTTGCTTTTTTTAGATATTTCCTCACTGTTGAATTATTCTGATTCTTTGGTGTGCTAATTAATTTATAATTAAGAAAGATTATAAACAGATTTAAACATAAAAAAGCCTAAGTTTCCATTGGTAACCAAATATACATAAACACATTTAAGCTATTGATAAAAAAAAAAATACAAGTTTAAAAGAGGCACTATTTTTTGACTAGTAAAATAGCAGCATTTAAAAAATATGATACTCAATGCAGAGTGTGGTGAAAAAAGTACTCTCATACATCAGTGGTGGAATATTAACTGGTACTTTTCCCTTGTTTTAACTGAAATTTACAACATGCAATTGTAAGAAATAACATGGAGAGTTCTCCTATATCCTTTACCCACAGTTCTCTTCCAAAGAACAATGTATCTGTACGTTAAACAATAAGAAAACAGTTCATTAAATGATAACATAGCCACTAGATAGAATATTCCACAGCCATTTAATCATATTTATTTAGACTGTGAGGTAATTAGCTTAATATCTATAATTTAATATTGGTTTAAAAAATACAAAATTTAATGCATAACTTAGTAAAAACACATGAACAATGAGTGGGAAAGCGGTTGAATTATGGTTAATTCATTGTCTCTTTCAAAACTTCTTATAACATAATTTCAAATTTAATTTTTTAAGTATTTTTTCATATTTTTCAACTTTTCCTGCTTTTGTGAGAATTTAATTTGAGAAGCAAAACTAAGAGAAAGATGCTTGCTTATTCATCCAATAAGGATAACTAACCGCCCAGCATGAGCTGTAGACATGAATAAGGAAAGAGCCACTCACCTGCATCTCTCTCTGGAGAAGGATGGATCCTCTGCCCCAGGCAGGCACTACTGAACGGGGGCCCCGGCCTCTCGGGGGGCTGGGCAATGTCCCGGGGTAGCGCCTTCCCCTTGGGGCTGCTAAAGAGGTCTTGGAGGTCCTTTCTTTGTACGGATTCTTGGAGGAAACTCTCAAAATATTTGTCTTTGAGTCTGAGGGAGGAAAAGAGTGGGATTCTTTTCTTTGGAACCCTAGAAGCATCTGGGAAGGTCTCTTGCAAACTCACTTTCTCGAGGAGTGTGGGGACATCTTCCATCTTGTTGCAGGATGGGGACACGAATGCTGGAAACATCTTGGATCCCCGGTTGGGCAAACTACGGGCGCGGAGGGCAGGGTCCAGAGGGCGAAGGTCCGAGGGTTGGGCAGCCCTGGCATTTGGGGTGCCCAGGGAGAAGAAGGCTGAGGCCCTGTTTGCCGAGTCTCTCCCAGGGGACTGCTGGTCCCAGTCTTTATTGGAGCTGGGTTTCCGCAGGCTGAACGAGCGAGTGCAAGCGTGCGGCTGGCTGGTGGTCAAAGTCTTTGATTCTGGCTTGGCCCAGGCCTTCCTCCCACCTTCAGAGTTGGGCAGGAGGGGCCCCAGCGACCTTCGGATGGCATTTGCTATGAGCCTTAGTGGAGACTTGGGTGGAGCCACGCTTTGCTCCCCTGGAGTCCTTTCAGCTGGGGTTCCCATCTTCCCCTGAGCCTCTGTCTGGGCTGCTGGCAGAGTCTCTCTCACTGTCCGAGGGAGCAGCAAAGGCCGTACTGGTTTCAGCACACGGGCTCCTCTACCATTCTCAGCACTTTCCTGGGAAAGTCTTGCCCCAGCTTCCAGGCGCAAACTCTCAGGACTGGAGTCATTCCAATCCAGCAACCTCGTCTTCTGCTCCTGAGTGAGGACCAACTTCTTTAAGTTGAACTTCTTCCCCTCTGCCAGCTCTGATCCACCCTCCTCTCCCCTCCTGTGATCAGTATGCTCTTCTTCTAGGTCCTCTCCAGCCCGGAGAGACAACTCTTGATCTGGCAAGCACTTGTCCTTCCCTGCGATGGGGTGCAGGCCTCTGTGGATGCTTCTGGTGTCCCCAAGAGGGGCCTCTGCTTCCTGACATCCATCAGAAGCCATCTCTGCAGGGCTGGGTGGCCTGGGGCTTGCAAGGCCATCTCCACCGGGCCTCACCAGGCAGTATTCTGCCCGCTCTAGCACTTGGCCATGAGGCAGGTACAGAGGGATTTCCTTTGGTGCTCCTTGGGCTCTGGCTCGCCTCAGAAAGATAGAGGTAGGAGTGAAATGACCTCTTGAGACCTGCTGGGCAAAAAATAAGTGATTTAAAAATTTCCAGCACTGATTTATATGAGGAAGGCACATTTCAGTCTATAGCCCCCTTCCCTCCCTCTCTTTGAATCTCAGATACCCAAGTCAAAAAGAATTCTGCCTAGGGTGATTTCCAAGTGCTGTTCTTTGTTCAAGTGGCTGCCTTGGGACCTGCCGAGATCTGCCTGGAGCCCCTGTATCGGCACTGATCAAAGGCTTTTCTGGGTCTTGGATTAGGTGTGTAGGAAGCCAAAAGGCAAGGCAAAGGCACTGACAAGCTCCCGCGCCAGTAAAGGTAGGGCTGACACAGCCCCTGTGCGTGGCCAGCATGTAGGGGAGGACAGAGGCCCCTTGGCTTGCTCAGCCATGGTCCCCACTAACAGGCGCATACCTGCCCACAGGTATATTCATTCCTCCAGGAAACCAAGGCTCCTTCCTTGGAGCCTATGGAGGTAAGGAGAGACAGCTACGCTTCTGGGCTGGAGCTGTGGTGGTGGGATCGTCTTTAGGACCTTCCAATGACTTTTAAAAACCTGGCTCATGTCTCATTTCTAGCATGACTCTTGGAAAAGGAAGACCACAGGTGGATTCTAGCAGGAGTGGCTATGCCCTGCCAAGAGGTCTGACCGAGGGGCAGGTCATATGACAGGAGCATCACGAGAGCATTACAAGAGCATGTACCCTTCTGTCTGTGTACTCTACTTCCCACAGCCTAATGCAGGGTCTGATAGTTCATGGAGGCCTGATAAACCCATGAAGGAAAGAGTCCAGCCCTGTGCTTCTCAGTGATGCCATTTCTATTTAAGGCGGATGTTGCTTCCAAGGATCTCAGCTGCTCCCAAAGGTACCCTTAGGTCTATGCCTGCCATCCTGCAGCTGCCAGCTCCTTAACGCCCCTTGGTGAGGTCCTCCAGGGCACAGCATATACCCTAGAATCTGTGCATCATCCCACAGCCCAGCCCAGATTCCATACCCTGTAAAGTTTGCTCAGTGCGCGATGGAGTGGTGGTTCCCCGGCGGGTGGCTGAGAAGGAGCAGAATGAGCTTTTGTGAAAGAGACTCACGCAGGAGGCCTGGGGGGCGGACTCTTGACAGAGCAGCTCTCCGGCCCTGCCCTTGCAATGGGGTGACCTAAGAGTGCTAGGAATCCAGAGTAAAGCATGGAAGTGGGAGGAGGAGAGGCAGCTCGCTTTCCTAGCACCTGTGCAGGGCCCTGAGGAGCACTTACGTAAGGCGGGGAGGAGCCATCCAGAGTATTCCCTGGGACACTGCCTGAAGAAGATGGTGGGGAAGACGAAGCAGACGATGAGGACGGAGAAGGAGAAGCTTCCTTTGGAGGTGACGCAGTTCTTCTGTTGTTTATCGGTGTCAAACCTACCAAGGAAAGAACACGCTGTCCATTACAGAGTTGTTATTACCTTATTTTACTGTGAAAAGTGGAGGTTTTAAGTGAAGCACCAACTCTATAAATGCAGTCAGAAGGAGGAAGCTTTCAGAGGTGGATCAGAGGCCCCAGTGCCCGCAGATTGGGACTTGGAGGGAGGGGAATAGGAATGGCAGCTCCTGTGGGGACCAGGGGTCCCAGGATGAAAAGTGTAAACATCGCTGTGTTTCACACTCACGTGAGAATATTCCTGAGAGATGAAACAGGAAGCGCCAAGGTGTTTCTTAGAAATAAACGTCTACTGCGAAGATTCCCCTAAAGCCATTGTGGCCAGGGGTTGGGGCTGCATAAAGTCACTTAGTCAGTAAACCACCTGAGGCCTTTTCCCATACATAGCCCAGACCATTAGCTGCGGGCACGGACAGGATAGGCGGTCACTGCTAATGAAATGAGCTCTTCTTTCTCACTGTGCCAAGCGGCTCTCAGACGAGATGGTTAGTTTGAGATTTTAAGAGAGCACAAGGGAGAGAGGTTATAATGAGTATCAAATCATTTGAAGCATATGGAGTGGAGTTTGTGCCAAGCTCTTATTGGTCAGGGAACAAATGAGATGTAGTGTATGCGCTCAGAGTGACATGAGAAAGGAGTGTGGCCAGCCCGAAGGACGAGTCTAATTCTGAACCGTGGGAAATGAAATCAGTCTAGTGACAGCAGAATTCTGGACATTTGCAGCCTACAAGATTCATCTCTTTTTCTTTCTCTCTTTTGACATCTCTCATGAGTACACACACACAGACACACACAGACGTGCACACATATACCCCCTAGTAACTTTAAATCTAAAATCTTAAGCATTTTGTTTCCATATTGGACCATTTCAGTAATCTGCCCTCAAAGGGATTCAGGAAATGCCATGCTCTGTTTCAGATCTGCCCCCTCAGTGTCCGACGCTTCGGCCCAGCCAATGCTCCCCTGAACCCACCCCGCACGTGGAGGCTGCCCAGGACCACTGTCGCTAGCCAATTCTCTTGGAGTTTTGCTCCCAGCTGCCCAACTGACCCATTCCAATTTTCCTCCGAAGTGTCCAGCCTTCAGATTTTAGCTCGCTTCCTCACTCAACAAAATTCTCTGGCCTCAGTTTCCCTAAAGCTTTGGGTGAGGGGCTTCTCCTCCGAGACCCACGCAGGCCAGGCCGAACCCGAGCTCTGGCCCAAGAAGCATTCCTTTAAGGCCCATTCGCACAGGGGACCACACAGGGGGATTTTCAGTGGTCTGTCCTGCTTTCCTCACACACAAATGCTAGCATGTCAGAGTAGGTAGCCCAGGCCTGGGCTCTGAAAAGATGGCTACCACATGTATAGTCAGTAAGGGCCCAACGGGAAGCTCGTCAGAATACTTAAAAGGAAAAGATAACTCAAGGGGACAGATCTGAGGGTGGCAGAAAGGAGCTGCTGGGGAGAAAGAACACTGGCTGCCAGGAGCTGATGCCGGGGAGGCGTCTGGCCAGGCTGCCTGTTACCCAAACCCCCATCTCAGCCCATGAACCTCCATCTCAGCCCACAGCTAAGACGGTTCAAGCCTAAAAAGGCAAAAGATGTGAGTCAGTTGTTGCCTTGCTTCCTGTCCTCAGCTTGCCAAATTCCTGCCAAATTCCTTCTCCTCCTCCTCCTCGCCCCCTCATTCTCATCTTCTGCCACCTCCTGAATCAAACGCCTGAACTTTTCTCAAAGTCCCCTCAGCTCAACAAACTGCCTTTGTTTTACCCTGAAGAGCTCTCTGGGAACCTTGTGACACAGAACCAGAGACACCTTGGCAACCAAACCTGACAGGGAAGCCTTGGGGTTCCCAAGGTCGTGACCCAGGAGCTGCTCCCTCTCTTTACCTCTCCCTAATCCCCACCCTCCACCCAAGCTAGTGGGGTCTCTTCCCACAGGCACTGTTCATGCACGGTCTTCAGGGGAACTTGGGGAGATGGGGCTAACAAAACACCTGCCATTCTAGCTGCTGCTTGGGAGGTGGGTGCTGCACTGGAGGGGAAGGCGAGGGCAGAGCTGAGAGGTGACACAGAATCTCACTTGCCCGAGGTGGCTGATGTGCTTGGCTTCCCTCAGAGAATGGTCAAGGGGAGCCTGGAACCCTCCTTTACTCCCACACCAGCTGCCTGACACTGAGCAACTTTCTTAATCCCTCTGTTTTCTCAGCCAGAAAATGAGAAGTCTAGTGCTGCTTTAGGGGAGGTCAAAGGAATAAAACGAGATAAAAAGAGGTGCCCATTGCGAGATGCAAGGTGAGTGCTACGTGCTGGCTAAACATTAATTCCATCGCCTTCCCTCCCTTCCATTCATACAAGTGGTGTCCAATAAGGACAATGCTGAACCACTGACCGGTTCCAGAGGGGGCTGCACACCCACCCCAGCCAGGATTTCTCTAACTCCTGGGCCCAGCAATTCCTCATTCATCAACTCGAATCTTTCTCTGCTAGCCCTTCCTTTTCATTAAAACCTGGCATGGCCCAGTGCAGGGCTGCCCTGCCATGTGCAGGGGTGCCCCTGGTCCTTCAGGTCCCTTTGTGCAAAGGGGGTTGGTGAGCAGATCAGGACCTGGATTATAGCCTCACATTCCGTCTGGGTCAGGTGCCTCTTCTCTGGGCCCTCTGGCAATGATGACTTTTTCCCTTGATCCTAGAGATCATTCTGGTGAACGTGGTCAGCTGGGAGAGGGTGCCGATGGCAGTCACACAGAACCAGCCTTGATAGGGCAGTGAATGGGCAGAGGAGATGGTACCCCATGTTCTGCTCCCTACTACAGGACCAGCCTGCCCAGTGGGGTTTCCTTAGGGGCAAAATGAAGACGACCAAAAAGGACAGTTCTACTGGCTTTCAGCTCTGGGGATATTCACAAAGACTGGGATTCAAGGGTGCAGCTTCCCAGAATTTGAAGCGTAGGCAATGGCTCAGATCCTCCCATAGTCTTGGAGCGCCCTCTAGGGGTGGGAGTGTGCACAGGACTCAATCCATGTGCTTCATTTGTTTCTGCACTCGGTCTAGCCTGCTCGTTCGCTAGTTAGTTTGTTCATTCATTTGTTCTCTCTTTGTTTGTACATTTGTTCATTTGTTTGCTTGCTTGCCCATTCACTCATTCATTCATTATTCATTCATCTGGCAAGGACTAGGTACCTCCCTTGGTCCAGGTCCATGCCAGACACCAGGCCCCTAGAAACGATTCGAACTCAAGGCCTGCCCTCAAACCAGCTTTTACATACACTTGAGAATCCAAACCTGATACTCCTGGGATAACTATAGACACAGCTGAGGTCCTCAGGCCCATCTCGAAAACCATCCTGCTGGTTAGCAGTCCCCTCTGTCCTGTGCCTCCTTCAGCACCCTGACCTTGCCGTGAGGGTTCCCCACTGGACTCTTACTCCAGACTGGGAACTTCTTGACGGCAAGTACAATCCCCTCGTGCTGGTGGCACTCAGTAAAGTTGACTGGAGGCACTGCAATGGAATCTGCACCCAGAAGGGCTCACCCATAAAAGGAATCCCCAAGACTGAGGGAGTGGTGGGGTGGGGCAGTAAATGAGATGGCTCGAGAGAAGGGCCTGGCCCAAGCCTTCGGTAAACATTGGCTGGCTCCTTCTCCTCATTCTCACTGCCTGGGGCTATAAGGCAATCCAAGAGTCATTTTAGGTTGTGTTGTCCCCAGGTATGCAGCCCTCATCCAGCTCCAGGGGCACCCACTGTCCCAGCCCTGCCTGAGTGAGAGAGGCCGTGGAGTGAGTGTTGACTCAGAAGAAAGGAGTCAACTAAACTAGCACTCTGTTCTGACTACAACTACGTTTCTTTTTTAGAAACCCTTGTCTAACCCATGGCTTTCCTGGATCCACCTCTCCTAGAGCCAGGCCTGGAGAGGGGCCTGGGGGCAGGAGGAGGTGGAAGGCAGCAATGGACTTAGACTCGAATGAAGTGTCCCAGCCCCTCTCTCAGGACCAGAGAGGGGATCCCTGCTCTGTACTTGCTGCAGTGCCCCAGGAATGTGGGCAGCCCTGGGATGCCAGGCAATGGCTTGCGTGGTCACTGCGCCCCCTAGCGGGAACCTGTTGCCGTGGCACCTGCCGCAGGCCCTGGTCCACTAGGACTGCTAATCCAGCCCACTCTTCTGTGGGATGCTGGGACCACAGCCTGCTCAGAAAAAGGAGCAGAGCAGTGTGCGTTTGTGCATTTCTGCGTGCTTGCATGCATGAGTGTGTGCATGTGTGTGTGTCTTCCTTCACTGCTTTCCCTGTGACTGCATGGCGTTAAGTGGATGTCCCCAGCCCAACTCCAGGGTGCTAAATCAAAACATACGGAGACCCTGGGCCTCAGTTTCCTCATCTGTTTCAAACGCATGGAGCTGATATGCTAAGGTCCCTTCCAAGTGTAACTGCAGAGTTCTAAGACTCCATGATTCCAGAGTGGGGAGTAAGGGGGGAGGGAAGGTCCCGAATCCCTCGGAAAACGCTCCCTCTAGTCAGCCGCAGAAAAGGGTCTCCCTCATTTTTCTTTCCTTGCTCCTTACATCTAGGAGGCCAGGTCAGAAAGGCCATGTAAGGAATGAGAGTTAATCAGAGAACTCCTGCCCACCTCCACCCCCACTTCCACCCCCAGAGAACTCATAACTCACTGGACTGGAATTTTCTTCTCCAGCTCTGGTATTTGCTGGGAGTTGGAGATTTGACGCTGTTCGCCCGTTGCAGAGCTGTAGTGGAAAAAAAGAAAGGGGCAGGGAAGATGGGAGGAAAAAAGTCTTAAATGTGTAGAATAGGGAGTTTTCTCCTATGGTCCATTTACCAAAAGTTAATCACTAACCCCGTAACTGACTGAACCGCGTCCTTCCCTCAGGCTGCGCCTTCCCGTCCCTGTGACACACACCTCCAACGTCTCATTCATTTATTCATCAAATACTTTTTGAGACCCTGCTATGGAACAGGTACCACCACCTTTCAGGAAATGCCTCAAATTATGAGCCATCATTCTAACCTGCCCACCATTAATAAGCATATAGATGTGTACATGTTTATATGCACACACGTGGATACATCTATGCCCATATACATATATGCGTATACACAAAATTTTTTTCAGCACAGTAGTTCAATGCTGAAGTCTCACATCTATGTCTCGTATATGCAATAGGTAAAACGAGGGCTGCTCTCATTGAAGGCTGGGAGCTACAGAAAGCTCTGCCCTCTCCTCCTTTCCCACAGAGTCCAGAAGACCCTTTGGGAATCAGTTTGAACTGAATCTCTAACAGTCCATTGCCATGAACCTCCTATTGGCCTTGATTCCAGTAGAAACACATTTGCAGGAGGCTGTGGACTGTGCATTGAAGACCCTCTGCCTGCCTGGGGCTTGAGAATTAGCTGAGCAAAATGAACGTTGCATGCAGAAGAAAATTCCCGCACTGGGCTCTCAGGTTTGGCCTCAGGCTCCAGGTCCCTGTAGTGGTTCCATCACAACCTTGAGAAAAAGAATGAGAGTGATGCATGCCTGAATGCTCACGCAGGTGGGACCAGGAGGCATGGAAGGAAGAAAGCCCACAGGAGTTATGTGGTTGTGGAAGAATGGGGCAGAGAAGGCGTGAATGCCGGCTGGCACAGGTCTCGGTCTCGGTGTCTCTGTCTCTGTCTCTGTCTCTGTCTCTCTCTCTCTCTCTCTCTCTCTCTCTCTCTCCCTCTCCCTCTCCCTCTCTCTCTCTCTCTCTCTCTCTCTCTCTCTCTCTCTCTCTCAAGCCCTAGATTTCACTTCACTTCTGGCCAGTGCTCAGAGTTGGGTGTCAACTCTTACCAGTCAGGCTGTGCAGCGCGGGTGATAACCACTGCCTGGGCACTTTTTTTCCTCAGGACGAGATCCTGCAGCTCCCAGATTCTGGGTGCCCCTCCCTTCCTTTCTCCATTTGGAGATGCTTTGAGCCTGCTCAGTCTGGCGGGTTCCCAGTCCCACAGGCCAACTTTCATAATCACACGCATGGGTTTGAGGGGAGCCTGTGTGGACAGGCTCAGGGTGAATTCTCCCCATCTCCCCATTATAGGATGAACAGTCTGTCTACAATTTTGATCTACTTCCTCCCACCAAGTACAGATCAGGGTTTTCCAGGCTGGTGTTTTGCACAAGGAGCAGGCAGGCCTCAAGCACGGCTACATCCTGCTGGGCAAAGTTTACCTCTTAATTACCCACTGGAGAAGTTATTGAAGAAACAAAGAAGAGAGCTTAAACCTCTGATTGCTTCCCCTCAGCTTTTAACATTGTAAAATGGAACTTATTAGAAATGGCTAAAATTCATGAGAGGTTTTTCTGTCACATGTGTTTGTAGGCCGCACATGGACACATTTTTTAAATAGGAATAATAGGGTGGGTAATGATTTGATCTGATAATTTTAAGCAGAGAAAAGCAGGGCTGTTCTCTTCTTTTTAGCTTATATTTTACTTATATTTATCTAATCTATCCATATTTATTTTAAGGGAATATTTTTGGAGACCTTGGTGAGTGGCCCACTACAGAAGGAGTAAGAGGGTAAATATTGTGCCATATGGTGCTCATGATATCATTTTATTGTTACAAACTAGCAGTGTCCTCCATAGGCCATAGGAACATCCTGCCATCAAATTATTGCCAGAAAAAAAAAAAATGGACAAATACCAATTTTTCTAAATCAGAGTAATTTGGGGGGCAGATTGCCCACCAAACTCTAATTGGTTTATGTCCAAGAACCCAGTGCACTAAATCAATTCATTTAGTTGCTTAGGCATGCATTTTACAGCTAACTCATCCAGGCAGGCCTCTAGGAAGCTGCTCTTCCGTGATTCCCAAGGTGCAGGGCTGGGCTAGCTCTCCTGCCTGGAAGCACCTGGCTACTGACATGAAATGCAGATACTCTAGACCAACTGAATCTGAATCTCTGAAGGTGGGAAGCTAAGAAACTGCCTTTTAAACAAGATTTTTAAGAACCACTAAACTAGGTGTTTTAGGGGAACATTACTGAGCATTTTCTATGGCCTTGATAACACAGGACTTAAGTTCTATTTCAAACCAGCCTCTTGGGCACGGTCTATGCTAAAGAACTTTGAGGAGGCGATACGTTCCTTGATGAATTGAGGTAGTCTCAGAGTCTTTTTCCAAATTGTGGCAAAAACATACACGACATAACCATTTTAATCATTGTGTAAGTGAATAATTCAGTGGAATTAAAGGTGTTCATATTGTCATGCAACCATTACCACCATCCGTCTCCAGAACTTTTTTCTCATCCCAAACTGAAACTCTGTACCCATTAAACAATAACTCCCCTTCTACCCTTTCCCTCAGCTCCTGGTAACTACCGTTCTACTTTCTGTCTGTATGGCTTTGACTGTTCTATGTACCTCATAGAGATAGAATAAAATATATTTGTCTTTTGTGTCTGGCTTATGTCACTTGGCATAATGACTTCAGTTTCATCCATGTTGTAGCATGTGTGAGATCTTCTTTTCTTTTTAAGGCTGAATAACATTTCATTGTGTAGATGTGGCAGAATTTGTTTATCCATTCACCTGCTGATGGAGAGTTGATCATGTCCCCTCTTGGTGACTGTGAATCATGCTGCTTTGAGTACGGTGTACAAACCAGGGTTCTTTTAAAAGCAATATCCTGGTCTTGTTCCGCATTTCTTTGTCTCACCTCTGAGCCATTTATCCAGGTGAAAATTGCAATTAATGAAGCTCCCTAATACCCACAACGCTACATTACCTGGTAAAGCGATGGACTCACCACAACCAGCAACACAAAACATAGCACTTAGACTCTGCCAGAGATCTGAACTTTACAATGTGGTCTGCCTAGCAATGATCAAAAACCAGGATAGGTGAAGATGAAATCCACAGACGATTGCTTGAAAGTCCTGTGGTTTCTCCACTTCTCTGTCTATCCCGCATTTTATTTTGGAATTAAACCAGACTGTCAGAGACAAAATGCTTTGGCCAAACTGCCTTGTGCTCTCAGCTCAATCTTATCCCCTGGGAGAACTGCGCTTGTCACGTTTTATTGTCATGACCTCACCTGCCAGAAAAAATTGCCGCATGAAACAGACTTGGGAAAACTATGGCTGCATATTTTTCTGAGATGTTCAAGACATAATACACCTCTCAATGCCATCTATTTGCCATGAAAATTTCTGGAAAATTTCTACAGAGTGAAGCATTAGGAAAAGTGGTACCTGCTCTGAGGCTTGCTGTTGTGAACCAATATTGCTTTTTTTCTCATGAAACAATGAAATAATTATCTATTTCCTTTTTAACTCTGGCTGCCAGAAAATTCAGAATCAAATTTATGATCCTATTAGAGCAGGAGTTTAGGACTATGGTCTTCCTCTCTGGAGTCTATACCTCCTAAACTATTTTTATTAACCCTGATCTTGAGGCTTTATCTTTCATTTATATAGACATATAATTTTGTTTTATGTCTTTCTTATAGAATTGTAAGTTGCCTAAAATACCCAGGCAATTGAGAAGAGAGGAGAAATGGAGAGAAGGAATAAAAGGCAGGCAGGCTTTGTATTATAAATGAGGAGGCTGGAGCCCCAGGAGGTGGAGGGGCCCGCCTACGCCAAGTAGTACCCAGACAGCACTCTGTTCACTGTAAGTGCTAAACCTCTTCGAACAGGCCCACAAATGGTACTTAGCAAATGTGTCCTTTTTAAAAAACGCTCACGGGGAGGGTAAATCCAGTTTCCAGGACTCTGGCCTCAGCCCTGGTCTTCCTGCTCCATCTCTTTCCCGGTAGTTCCTATGAAACCAGCTCCCATGAGAACCTTTCTGGTTTCAGGTGAAAATTCTGCTCTCGGCCACGAGAGGGAAGCACAGGACAAGGAGAGCCCTGGCTCCCGCACGGCCGCTGAGGCCATAGGTCTTGCTGGTGGCAAGTTTCTGTTAGCCTGTTCTTCCCACCCAGAGGTCACAATTTCTATTGACTGAATCAAAATACTTTATTCAAGGCCATCTTTATTTTTTTAAAGGGAACTCAGCACTGGGC